GCATTGCCAAGGGTGAGGCACTGTTCCAGCTCTGGGTAGTTAGCGAGGAACCAAACAGACCCAAATCCCAGCCTGCACAGAGATCCAGGCCATGGGCAAATGCAAGGGTAGAACTCATTTTCTCAAGTTTTGATGTGGATTTATTTGGACCCTGAGTTGAAAGTATTTAGATATGCCCTTGGTTGTTGGGAGGAAGGAGAAGGGGCAAGGGAGGCTTGCCAAGATGGTCCGTGGGCCAGCTCCTGCTTAGAGAGGGGTGCTGACCAGGCCCGGCTGGTGACCTTGGGTCATTCAGTGCTACCAGGGGCTGGATCCCGGCCCCCTGAGTCACTCTGCCTCGCCCCAGTCTCTTCCTGCCTTGGGCTGACTATAGCTCGGTCATCTCAGCTGAGACAACCCTCTGGATTTGGAAGGGAATTTTCCCGAATGCCACCAGCTAAGCTCTCTGGCTCTGATCTTTGGCTGTGCCATTGCAGACCTTGCCTCCTTCCTGTGCTTGGCACCCTCCATATGAGGCGGCTCCCCTCCCTGCTCCTCCCCTCTCCCATTCCTGCCTCACCCTCTCCCTGCTCCTGCTCTGCCTTCGGATGTTGGCTTCCTGTCTTCTTGCCCTCCTGCCCAGCAATCCTTTTCTGCTGTCAACTCCTCCCTTATGCCCTTTGCCACACACCAGATGTTGGCCTGTTACTTGCTCCTGCCCCATCCCTCACTAGCTCCTGGGTGGAGTCTTCCCAGCATTTTTCTCCTCTCATGTTGTGTCGACCCTCTCGGAGCCAGGACGCTGCCCCACCCTTGGAGGGGACAAGGGGACACACGAGGTTGTTTCTTTGATGGTGTCTTCTCAGGGCACTGAGATTAGAGGATGGATACCTGGCATGGGAGGGCTGGGGCAGTTTCTTCTCTACTAACATTGGGATTGAATAGTTCTTTATTGGGGTATGTGTTGGGGGGGGTCCTATGCATTGTTGGATGTTTAGCAGCACCCCTGACCTCTACTCACTAGGATGCCAGTAGCAGTCCTCTCCCCAAGTTGTGTCAACCCCAAATGTCCCAGACATTGTCCGATGTCCCAGGAAGCAAAGCTGCTCCTGGTTGAGAACCACCGGGCTCGGCGTTGACAACACCAGGATCTCAGTCTTGGCCAAACCCGGGCCGGAAGGGACCTGAGAGTTCCATAGTCCACATCCCACCTTTAAGGGAAAGTGGGCCTCAAAGAGCTCAAAAATCTGAAGGTCACACAGGGGAAGGTGATGGAAGAGGCATTTTATTTATGTATTTACTTTGCGAGTTTTAAGAGAAAGCTGATTTAGAAAGTTTCTGAGGTAGCAGAAGTGAGTCAACTGGGCTGTGTAAGCTCAGGAAACAAGTTACAGAAGCAAAAGAAGGGCCCTTGGTGCCCAAGAGAGGAAAGGGCAAAGGTAATGCTGGGGGGCTGGGCGGAGAAGAGGGGAAGGAAGGCACAGGAGTGCTTCCCAGAGGGACAGCATGGGTGAAAGAAGCATTTTAGATAAAGATTCAGGCAGCTCAATGTAGGCTGGGCTGACAAACAGGCCAGAGTCAGGGAGGGGAGCACGCTGGGGTCTGGGCATGAGAGGGGGGCTACGGCGGGGGTCGTGCTGCTTCTCCCTGTTGGCCGGGGCTCGCAAGGGCATGCACTCGGTGCCCTAGGAGTGGCAGTGGGGAAGGGGCCTGCACCAAACGCCAGGAAACCAGGTTCCGGGCCCATCCAGCAGTGACAGTCGCCTGCTCCCTCTCAGTGTCTTTTTCTGTAAACTTAGGGCCTGGTGTGTGTCTGCTTCCTGCCTGGAGGCTCTGCTGGTGCTGGGTCATCTGAGGTGGGGACACAGGGTCCATATCAGCAGACCTCTGGGGAGAGATGGAAGAGTGACAGGGGTCTCCTTCACTCAGCAGGCGTGCACCCCGACCTCGGACTTAGGTACAGGCTGCTGGTGGGGTTGCCCCTCTGTAGGCAGCAGATCTCACCTGGGACCTAGCCCAGGCCCCGGTGGGACCTCGGACAGGCAGTGAGGAGGGAAGCCGGTGGGGGACAGGCCCATAGCTTGCTTCGCTACGGGTGCTGGAGGGAGGCTGCTGGTGGGTTGTTGGGCAGCTTGCAGACCAAATCAACGACATGCAGTGTGGAGCCAGAGAAGCAGTGCTGAGGAGTGACCGGCTCCTGGGAGCTTCTGAATCCTTGAGCTTTTCCTGGTGGAGGCTCCTTGAACTCACATCCGTTCCCCCCAGGAGGGAAATACAGAATGGAGGCACAGCGGGGACCAGCAGGCCGACTCCCAGTGAGAACTGGCTTCTGGGGAAAGCTGCACTCTCTGGGGAGGGTCCTGGAGACCCTGGTGTCCCCAGCTGCAGGGGAATAGGTGTCCTGCAGGTCCAGGAGCCCAAGTCCGCTCTCTTTGGTAGGCCCCTCTACCTGAGCCAGAGCCCGCAGCAGCGGGTTTCCTCTTACTCATTGCAGGGTCTGGCTTTAGGAACCATAAATCTGCAACATGAAGGTCATGAATTTCCATGGTATGATTAATGAAAGAAAAATTGAGACGGCAGCGTAGATACTGAGCAGATTGAAGAAAGTCAATGACAAGTTGGATGAAAGTTTCAGAGCCTCACTGGCAAGCCCAGAGCTTCTGACCCAGCCTGGAGCGCCACCTAGTGGTTGCAAAGGTTATTCCCCTGACAAAGCTTAGGGATGCTCCCATTGGGTGGGTGGATGCTCAGGGCCTGAGTGTGCCCACACCTTGGGAACCTTGCCCTAGTTCCACCTGGGGCTGCTGAAGGGTATAGGAGGCGCAGGACCCCTCTCCCCAGGTTAGGGGACCCAGGCAGCCGCTCCACTTACCTAACTCCCATCCCCTATGCTCCTTGAACAGTCTTTGGCTTAGTAATACATGGGAATTTCCCAACTTCTTTGTCATGCCCAGTCTGGATCACCTTTGTTTCCCCATTTACAAAAGTCCTACTGATTCTTTAAAGCCCAGCAAGCCCTGTCAACACTACCTTCCAAACATCGCAAGTCGGACATTTCTGACCAGCCCTCCGTAACCACCTGGTGCAGGTCACGGCCAGCCGGGCCGCCGCAGTGCCTCCTGATTGCCTCCGATGGTCTGTTCTCCCAACAGCAGCCAGAGAGATCTATTGAAAACATAAATCATGTCACTCTCCAGCTCCGGAGGCTTCCCACCCCGCTGAGAACAGCACCCACATTTTCTTTCCTGGTGCCTGCAAGGTCCTGTCTCCTCTCCCCGACTTGTCACCTCCTTCACTCTTTTGTGGCCACTTGGACACCTCAGGGCCGTTACTTCTGTGAGAACACTTTCCCCCAGGTATTTGTGTGGCTCACTTCCCCTCTTCATTTGAGTCCCTATGCAACTGCCACCTTTCTCTGACCACTCTGTCCCCAGTTACTTCCTAATCCCTTGCCCACCTTAATTTTCTTCACAGCAACATCAGCACCTGAAACTCTGCGAGATGTTTGCTTGTTCCCATTCTGTGTGGGAACCCCCCCTTCATGAGCACCCGTGCAGTTTACCGGCTCCTCCCGCACTCGAAAGGGGACTGGCACTTACTAAGTAGGGGCTCAGTTGGGGCTGTTGGCTGCCTGTCTTCCTGGCATATCTGCGTCTCCTCTCTGAGCTTGGTTCCTTGGGTCACAGCACGGCTTCGGCACCAGGAACTGCTACTTCCACCCACTTCCCATGCTTGCTTCCACATAAATTCTCACAGCAACCCAGGAAGTAGGTGCTATTATTCTCATTCAGAATAAAAGGAGTTTGCAAGTGGCACAACCAGGACCAGCTGGAGCTGGGTATCAGATCCATGTCTGGCTCCCCAGCCTCTATGTGGAACGTCCTTGCCCTCCACCTGCCCCAAGTCCCCCCATCCTTGAGGCACTGTCTCTGCCAACTGGCATCTTGGACCAGGACAGTGACTGCCTCCTCTGAACGCCTGTGCCGTTTATTTGGCTCCAGTGTATACTGCCAGGGGTAGATGCTGCTTTTTCCTTGCTCCCACCCAGCCCGAGTGGAGGCCCAGGGAAGGCAGGCCTCTAAAGCAGTTGTAGCTCTTCTGGCACGAACGCTGCATGCTAGAGGCACTCAATAAATATCGGTTGACTGATTGATTGGCTTCTCAGATTCAGCACACTTCCTCTGGGCTGCGGGAGGGAGGGGGCTGTCAGCTATATCGAGCATAAAATAAGGCAGACGTGGAGATTTGCAGCCAATGAAACTGAAGCTTCCCCAGGTGAAGCGAGTGGCGGCGGCGGTCCCAGGGGTGCTGTTGAGGAGTCGTTTTCGGGCCCATGGGGCTGGTTGCTGGCTTACCAGATGGATGGTGAAGGCAGTGATGGGCTGCTCCGTCCTAAACCTCAGCCAGCCCCTCAGTCAGCTCTGAACCAGCCCAGCCAGTCCTTTTCTTTTCCCGTCTGTGGGAAATTTGTTCTCCAGGCTCTGGGAACAGTGGGCAACGGCCCTCTGCTCAGGACCACAGGGCAGTCACTGGAGGGTCTGGCTCTGAGAAACTGGGCTCCGAGATTCTTTTCCTGCCCCGAGCAAGCCCGTGTTGCTTCCCCTGACCGCCATCCACCCTCCCGGACTCCTCCCTGGATGCTGGGACCTCTCCCCTGCCGGTGGAATAACGGCAGCCCCCCATCTGCACCTGGGACCCGCAATGTTTGTCACGTGCTTTTGTTTATGTCGCATTTAATTTGATCCTCAGAGTGACCCTAGAGGCCAGTGAAGCCAGTGTAACCCCATTAGCCAGACAGGGGGATTGAGACATGGAAAGGCGGAAGGGATTTGTCTGGGTCACACAGCCGACATGATTGGAGGCTGTGATCCTGTTTGACCAGTAGCCCTGTTCTCACCCTTTCCCTGGCTCGGAGTTGGTGGGGGGTGGGGGGTGGGGGGGGCGGGACATGGAGTCTTTCAAGACCCCTGGTGGTGAATGCAAGAGCAATGCCAGTCTAACAGGCTTTCCTTTCTCTCCAGCTCTGTGGCTGTGGGCTGCTTGGAGTGGGCATTTGGCTCTCCGTGTCCCAAGGCAACTTTGCCACCTTCTCCCCCAGCTTCCCTTCGCTGTCTGCAGCCAACCTAGTCATCGCCATAGGCACCATTGTCATGGTGACGGGCTTCCTGGGCTGCCTGGGGGCCATCAAGGAAAACAAGTGCCTCCTCCTCAGTGTAAGTTGGACCCACACCCCCAACCCTCTGAACTCTGGATCACCCTGCATTTGGGCCACAATGACAGGCAAGGCCTGGGAACATCAGCTAACTGAGCCCAGGAGATTGCTTCCAGGATGTTCTTGGCCCAATCACTCCCCTCTTCCCCACTATCCCTGCCCTAGTTGTCCCTCTCACTCCTTGACTGGTGTCCACTTAATGCCCCTCCCCGACCTGTCTGGGTTTCCTCAGAAGTAGGTAGCCTCTCCATACCTGGGAAGCCCTGGCTGGCTGTTGCCTGTCCCTGCCTCCCTGCCCTTGTTCTGGTTTGTGCCCCACTCCTGGCCACGACCACTACCATGTGCCCATGCCTACACCTTCTCTTTCCAGTTCTTCATCGTCCTGTTGGTCATCCTCCTAGCAGAGCTGATCTTACTTATCCTCTTCTTTGTCTACATGGACAAGGTAAGCTTTCAGGAAGGGAGGAGCTTATGGAATTTCATTGCCCTTGGGATTGGGTCAAACTGGAGCAAGCCAGAGGGAAATGGAACCAGGAGAACAGGAAAGGCCCAGATGAAAGGTTTTGGTGGGGCAGCATGGGGAAGGCGAGTTTGGGATGGTTCATTACCTTGTGTAGTCTTAGGAAGTTGAGTCCTCTAAATTGTCCAAGGATGCAGTGGACTGCCCCTTGCTCAGTGAACTCCCCATCACTGGGAGCATTCCAGCATACTGTGTTGGCCACTTGGAGAAGGGAGTTAGACTCACTAAGTGGCTGGGCTGGGATTTGAGGATAACCCCTTGGAAACTTGCAGGAGCGTGGCCGGTGACACCATGAGTAGGGCTGACGGTGAAGGGGAGCTACCCTTTCTTTTCCAGAGGCCTCTGGGGCGGAGCGACTGCTCCAGGCTGCACCGCAGGGTTCAGAATGGTGGGGTGACCCCTGGCAACCTCGCCAGACTAGACAGTTCCCAGTCCATTTGGAGAACTTCTTATTGGTACTCCCAGGAATGAGTAGCCAAGCACTGAGTCTCTTAGGGCTCAGCAGGCTCGTTGGGGCCCTGTGCCCAGGAACTATGTTACTCTCAGTTCCGTGGGGTCTTGAAGCACTTGCCCAGGCCACACTGGAAGGTGGAGTCATTATTAGGGTTAGAAATGAGTTCCTTTGCATTTGTGAAAGGGAAGAAATAATAATATTGAGAGATCCCTCTGTGCCAGCCCTGTGCTTGGCTCTTTATGAGAATTGTTTCCTTTAATTCTCACAACAACGCCAGAGGTAGATATTATTATTACAGGGTATGACAGATAAAGCAGAGGCAAGCTACTTGCCAGCGAGAGGTGGCCCTAAGATCAAAATGACTCGTCTGCCACTCTCTGGTTCCCAGGGTGTCTCTGACAGGGCAGCATGGGGGAAGATGTGGGCGGGTGGCAGAGTGGCCTGTGTGTGGCTGGTCTCTTTCCTCTGAGTGTTACAGCTCTCCTGGGAGTCAGTGGGTGTAGACTGAAGCTGGGAGCGTGGACCTGCCCTGCCCCGGCACCCCACCCAGGGAGAGAGGTGGCCAGCAGTTCTAGTTGACCTGGGCAGGCTGCATCTGGTCCCAACTGTCCTGTCTGTCGGCCTCAACCGGACAGGTAAATGAGAACGCCAAGAAGGACCTGAAGGAAGGCCTGCTGCTCTACAACACGGAGAACAACGTGGGTCTGAAGAACGCCTGGAACATCATCCAGGCCGAGGTGAGGGCGGGCTGCCCTGCTGACTGGGTGGGCAGGGCCAGCAGGCGGGGAGGAGGCGTGCGGCCTGGGCCTCAGACCCCACCCAGGTGACCGAGTTGGGCAGCTGTGCTTTCTGGATAGTAAGTGAGGGCTGCTGGGTCGGACACCAGCCAGTGGGATGCAGCTGGAGAGGGGCGAGGAGGTGAGTGAAGGAGGGTGAGCAGGACCTGGACACAGGAGTGGACAGGCCTGAGGGAGCTGTGCGAGTGGCTAAGTGGGCACAGGGAGCTGGGAAGGATGGATGATCGAGAAGGACGGACCATCTGATCCTTCTCTGAAGCTTTGGAATGAGTGACAGAATTTATTTTAGCAACAGCTATGCCCCCTGGTCCTGGCTCAGGCTAGGAGGCTCTGATTCTGAGAAGAACAAGTCAGTACAGCCTGGTGCCCCATGGGAAGCGCTGGGGAAGGGCAGGCGCCAGCCTGCGATGGTCCCTCAGGCACAGAGCCGCAGGTGCTGGTGGGACGGAGGGCTGAGCACTCCTGCCCAGAGTCAGTGCCCAGCTCCGAGGGGCCGGCAGCTTTCCTGTCTCCTGCTCCAGCCTCCAGGAGGGAGCTCTCACTTACCTCCCCTGTGGGCCCAGCTGAGGCCAAAAACGGACAAGAGAAGGCCTTTGTGTCCTCTGCTGAACTCCAGGGGGCAGTTCGCTGGGGCGGGGTTGGCCTGGATGGGGAGGGTGCAGAGGAGCTGGCAGGCTGTGGCGTGTCTGACCCTGTGCCTCCCACCCACAGATGCGCTGCTGCGGCGTCACCGACTACACAGACTGGTACCCGGTGCTGGGTGAGAACACGGTCCCCGACCGCTGCTGCATGGAGAACTCCCAGGGCTGTGGGCGCAACAGCACCACCCCGCTGTGGAGAACGGTGAGGCCCGAGGCCCTGCCCCGGGTCCTCCTCCCAGGAGCCTGTGCCATGGCAAAAGGAACCTACAGGGGAGGGAGGGGGGCCTGGGGCTCCAAGGACTTGGCTTAATGTGGGGCGCACAGGACTGCAGCCAAAAAGGCAGGTGGAAAATGGAGGGCCTGGACCCATAGTTGGGAGTGTAATGGGGAGGGGTGTGTCTGAGGCTGTGCAGTGGGGCCTTGTGGGTGGAACCCTGGGCAGGGCAGGGCCTGCTCAAAGGCAGGACCAGGCTGAGGGTCAGGGAAGGACAGGAGGAAAGAGCAAGGACAGGGGCTGAAGGAGAAAGAGAGTGGGGGGCTGGGCAGGAGGGGTGCTCGTCGTCATGCCGGGCCCTTCACCTCGTGGTCCTCGCTCCCTAGGGCTGCTATGAAAAGGTGAAGATGTGGTTTGATGACAACAAGCACGTTCTCGGCACCGTGGGGATGTGCATCCTTATCATGCAGGTGAGAGGGCCATCAGCCTCGCTGCATCCCAGCTGGAGAAAAGCAAGCCCCCGAAGTTAAGTCACTGACCCAGGCGGCCCCTCCATGCGCTGTCCTGCTTTGCGGCCTCTTGGTGCCTGCCCGACCCTACAGGCCCCAGAGGCGCTGCTTCCTCCCATTTCCTAGGCCTTGGGCCCGATGCTGGCCTTGGGCCCGTGTCCCTCCTCACTTCACAGGGACCCCACTTCACAGGGACATTTTCCTTGTGGCTGAACTGAATGAGACCTGAGTCCTTAGTAACACCTGTGAGCATGGGCTCGGGGGTCAGAGCCCACAGGGGTCAGTCCTGGCCTCACCGTCTGTTGGACATGTGTGACCCGGGCACACTGATTAGCTTGTGTGCCTGAATTTCCACATCAGTATAACGAGCCTGATCATCGTGCCACTTCTCAACCGGGACTGAGTTTAACATGCCTCACATCGGGCAAGGAGCTGCACCAAGCACAGAGGAAGTGCCAGGTCATCTCAACTGTTCTTAGCAAGCACGTAGTGACGCTGTTCTCTTAAGGCCGAGCACGAGACCCTGACCTTTCTGGGGACGAGCATTTCCTGGGCTCCCTCCTGTGCCCACTACACATGGCTCCTGTCCCTGGTGAGCAGGAGTCTCCATGCCTGATTCCTCTTGGAGTACTTGAACTTCCCTGGTCGGTCCATGGGAAGACGGTCAGCATCCTGCACCAGGGATCTTCCTTATCCTAAACTCTTGGGCCGAGGGGCCAGATCGTGTCTGATTTATCTAAGTGCTCGCAGACTGAGCAGATGAGCTCTCATGTGAGCTGCACTCACCATTTAGTACCGAGAGTGGGGCTCATGTCAGGTCCGCCTGGGGTCAGGCCTGGACCTGGACCAGAACCTTGGGGTTGGGATCATCCATCATGGTCTCCTCCACGTATGCCTGCACCTTCGGTGTGGGAGCCAGGAGAGGCACAGTGTCACCTGCTTTGTGGCCTGTGCCCAATGCAGGCTATCTGTGGTGACTTGAGCCACAGGCTGGCTCCCTGCTGTCACCACCCCCTTTCAGGATTCAGGAGTTGAGGGAATAACAAACTGGAATTAATGTCCTAAGCTTCACTGGTAAGAGTGTCTGCTGCAGCCCAAGAATCACGCTGTGTATTCCAGAACAGAATGACTGAGCACAGGTCGAGTTCCCTCCCCCTCCGCACCGCCTTGTTAGCTGCCAGTCAGGGTCAGCCCTCTGTGCACTCGGCCTCACACAGCACTCTGAAATGGAGAGGCTCAGCGACATTCTGTACAGACAGCTCTGAGGGCTGAGCTCACGGTGTGGCCCTGGGCTGGTCACTGGGTGCCCTCCTCCGCTCACCACTATCCTCATCCCACCAGGTTTTTCACGCCCACAAGCGGTTGTACCTTTTGCTGTCGGTGGCCCCAGCCATGGGGCTTTTGTCTGAGCCCGTTCCCCGTGTCTTTCAGATTCTGGGCATGGCCTTCTCCATGACCCTCTTCCAGCACATCCACCGGACTGGTAAGAAGTACGACGCCTGAGCGCCAGCGGGAGCCCAGCCCCCACGCGGACACTGTGCCAGGGAAGGAGATTTGAGCTTTGTGTTGCCTGCCCGCACTCCAGACTGCTGCCCCCTGCACCCACGTTCCCCCAGCGCCCTCCACACACCCCGCCTCAGCCTTCTTGGGGTGGAGAGCCATGGGGAGAAGGCACGGAGACCTTGGGGTGCTGGGGGTGCTGGATTCCTGCATCTGTGCATTTGCCAAAGAAGACAGGGTGGGCCGGGGGGCGCATTTGAGGAGGCCGCACCGATGGTGGCTACCCCGCCCTTCCTCACACCACACTGTGCGCGTGGGGGGCCGTGAGTGCTCCCGCCTGGCGGAGAGACTGCCCAGCAGAGGCCTCCCTTCGGAGAGCGGGAGCAGCAGCCTCCGGCCAGGCACCCAAGGAGCACCTTGCCCAGGCTTTTTATACCTTACAGTGTAACTTTTTTATTTTATTTTACTCTGATTATGATTATTCAGGAATATTATCTCAGATAAGTTTAGGGTTAGCTTTCTGATTTATAACTTTTTACTGTGTTGATTTCTGTAACAGTTTGATTTTTGTCTGAGGGTGGGAGACGGGTGGGAGAGAGGACGTCCGTCGGGTTTCAGTCAGGACAAACCACTGTGCAGCAGTCAGGAGGCACTGGGTGAGGTGGGCCAGCCTGCGTTCAGATGCTCTGAGGGAGGCGGCCGGGGCTGCTCTGTCTGCCCCGCGGCCTGTGGCACCGGAGCCTGGAAGAGGAGGTGAAACAGAGGCACGTGCAGCCGCGCGAGGAGCGCCCTGCTCAGGAGCGTCCTGCTCAGGAGCCACGTGTCTGCGCGTGCTGGCGCAGGAGGCCAGAGCAGCGGGGTCCCTGGGGGGCTGCCGGGTGCTTTCCCAGGAACACAGCTGGAGCCGTTGTGGGTCCTTCCACTTCATGATGAGCAGTCGCTTTTCCTTCCCTTCCTCCTTCCCGCGACATCTGCCAACCCCAGTGATTTCACAGACATTCCTGTAGAAACTCCCGGACACATACCTCTCGTTCAGCTGCTGCTCACTTTCTCACACTGCTTCTGGGAGGGAGGCAGTCCTGAGGTTTTGCTGCTCAGTCAGTGGCAGAGGACCCTGGAGTCAGGAGGGCAGGTGGAAGTGGTGCCCGTGACCATTCCAGCCGGTGCACTGGGCTGCTGGTTCCTGCTGGGAGGAAGGGGGAGGTGTCCGTCCAGGTCCCGGGACTCATCTCCTTCCTCGGGGCTCATGGATGGTGGGGTGGGTGGCAATCATGTCCCCAGTGACCGCAAGGAAAAGTACAGAAAACTGAGAGATGTCAGACTGGATCCTGTTAAGTAGCCCCAGGAGGAAGCCGTCTGGGAGATGAGAGGTGGGCGGGCATTCGGCTGCGACAGCGCCCACCAGAACTTATGCTGGTCTAAGCGAGCATTTTGCAGTTAAAGAAGCAAGTCAAGTATCTGTGGGATGGAGCTTGAAAAGGTTCCCCACCCGCTAGGTGGGGCCTGGGTGCTTCCCCAGGTGGGGCCTCAGGGAGGCTGCCTTTTTCTACACCACGTGACTCCAGCCCTAGTTTCCCACCAGGCCCATATCTCTCCGGCCTCCATCTGTCTGTTCCAAGAGCTGAGACTCAGCTGCCCAGCCAGCAACCCCTCCCCTGATCTTCAGTGCAGTGCAGTCAGGCCCAGGAGGACAGAACTTTGGGTGAGCTCAGGACTCACTTCTTTGGAGGGTGGGGAGTGAGTTGGGCAGTAGAGCCACCTCCTGAGAGCTGGTGCAGATGGGAGAGCTGGGGAGGTGGGGCCTGGGGTGGAGGAGGGGTAAGCACATGTTTGAGCAAAACTGCCTCTGGGTCCTCTGGCCGCCTCCGGGAACCCCAGTCTGCAGAGCTCCTAGCGGCCTGCCACCAGGCCATTGTGGAGACACCCAGCAAACAGCATTCAAGTCGGGCAGTGGGACGTGGTGCATACTGAGTTTGTGCCGGGGGTGGGGGGTTGTTTATGCCTATCAATGCAATTTTTAATTTTTGTTAAAATCAACAGCAAAAGCCTAGCACCTTGGGAGGTGTGGCCTCCCTGGCAGTGTTTTGTTTCTGGAGCTTCAGGGGCATCCTCTGGCCTGGAGCCCTGGCCACAGACCCCCTTCCTCCTTTGAGCCCCACCCTATCGTCTGTCCTCAGAGCCTTGTCACAGTTCCCAAGCTCCCTTCTGGCCTCCTCCTGTGCTTGGTGGTTCCGTCATTGGCTGAGTCGACACTGGGTAAAAGGTGCTGAGCATGGGCTGGAGTGCTCTTCCAAGCCCGTGTCTGGCCCACACTGTGTTGGAGGCCGCAGCTGTGGCTTCCCCACCAGAGTCAGAGTTCATTTAGTCAGGTCTGATGCAGGCAGTTTACAGAAGGCTCAGAAGGTCAGGGTGCTGCAGACGGCATCAGGGGAATGCCTTCCCTGGCCTTTCTTTGCAGCCACCTCGGGAGGTGAGTGAGCAGGGCCTGAGCCCTGCTCCGGGGGCTGCAGCAGGTGTGGGCACAGTCTCCCCTGCACTCCTGCGGGCCTGGGCCTGCATCCTGGGCTCGCTCAGGAAGGCTGCTGAGCCCACCCCAGATGCTCATGCAAATGTTCTGGTCTGACTTGGAACCAGGTGGCCATCCCTCCTTGTTTTAGTGGCCAACGAGCAGCCAAATGGATGGAAACGACTGTCCGGCTCTTGGGCCCCCTGCCCACCACTGGTGGAGGTGCTAACTAGCAGGGACCTGGTGTAGGATGGGAGCTGGGCCAGGTGCGTGGGGTCCGCTCTTGGTCCTTCAGCCTTTCAGAGTCTGGGCCTCATTTCCCCTTCTCCCATTTCCCTCCTCTCCCTGCAGTGAAGCAGTAGTCCAGGGTGGGGCCTGGCCTTCCTGCCCTCACCGGGCACTCTGAGGGCCAGGCCTTGGGCCTGTGCCCACACCCTGCCCAGCACGGGAGAGCACGCCTGTTGGTTTCAAATGCACTTTTCTGCTTGTGATGCGGTATCTGCGTTTCCTTCATCCTAGTCCTGGCTTTATTGAACACCATGTTTTTAGCATGTTTTTAAATAAAACCTGATAATATGTCAAAAGCACAAGCAGGCTGTCTCTGTGGTGTGTTCATTCGGTAAACCATGACTGTGGCACGAGCCCTACTCTCTGTCCAGGACACACCTGCAGCTAGGAACTCATCTCCCCTCAAGCCCAGGTTATAGATCTGCTGGCTTGGTGGGGAGGTCCTCTGTGTGTGCTTGAGGAATCATAACACCTCCTTTGCCTGGTGACCTGAGGCGGGTTTGGTGGGGGCCCTCTGCATGAGAGGCCGACCCCACCTATGTGTTTGTCCCGTCCAGTCCACCAGCCTGTGGGCCAGGCCCTTAGTGCGCTGGGAGAGGGGCAGCGACAAGCCACTCTTGGCCTCCTGTGGGGCAGGGATGCAGCTTTAGGTGCAGTTTCTCCCCAACCCCCCTGATGACCCTGGGGCTCATCGGAGCCAGGAGTGAGGGGGCCTTGCGGGTGGCTTTGCCTGGGCTGTACTCCCTTAGGTGGCTCTGAGCTGGCTCCACTGGGCACAGAAGCACCAGTCAGTACGAGATGGTCAGCGGGGAGGAGGGAGGCACTGAAAACCACTGGCTGTGCCACCTCACTGCAGGGAAGCCTCCCAGCCTCCTTGGCTGCTGTAGTCACAGTGACAAGTTGGGGTGAGAAGCTCAGACTCACCCTGCCCTGGGCCATTGCTGCAGCTCAGATACCAGGCTGGGCCGGGGCAGGAATGAAGGCGAATGTGCAGCGTGGGTTTGATGGGAGCGGGAGCTGCATCTCTCAGCCCTGTACCGTGTGTGGAGGTTTGGCTCCTGCCTCCTCCGGGAGAGGCCAGGTTGGCATGGGATTGTCCCAGAGCATCAACCTTGGGAGCCTTCCTGCAGCTGCTGTGTCCCAGCACCTGCAGGGATTTGCTGAGGATTGACTGAGGCGTCTGAGATGACCCTCTGTCAAAGGTGCAAGGAGACCTTGTGGCCGTGGGTCAGGAGATGGTCATGGCTCAGGGAAGGGTGACCCTCCATCTTCTGAGGACCAACCGAGGCATAGAAAGTGGGTGGGAGCCACTTCCTCTGCCCATTCTTGCTCTCACTCCTGCCCCTCAGCCTGTGGACACACCTACTGGGATGCCCCCGTGTCCCTGTGCTGTCTTCTCTGAGGGACAGAGTGACATCCATTGGCACCCAGGGCACTGGGACACACGGACTGTTCTGTGAGCACTGAGCTCCAGTCAGATTAAGCAGTGAAAGGCGGGCCACCTGGCCAGGCAGGAGAGGGGATGTCAGCGGGAGGACAGGGCTGGGCATCGTCCCCCCTGGAGACTTCTAACACTAGGCAAGGGCCTTCTGGGCTGGGTTCTGGGCTCTTCAGCCCATGGCATGGGTGGCTGAGATGACCCTGGGGGATCTCTTGCTCCTCCATTCTTGTGTGAGGAGGTGGGAGAGCTGCCTCCCATCGGTGTCCAGCGAAGGGCAAGTGAGAAAGGATGGTTTGTGAGCCACAGAGGAGCCGGCTTGGTATGTATGAGAACTTCCTCAAAACAGCTCATCCAGGGCTCGCACAGACAAGACATTATCACACACAGACTCGAACACTAATTTGTGCCAAGCAGCTTGAATACAGTGGTGAACAGCCAGACCCGATCCCTGTGGCTCCAGAGGGGGCCACAGAGAGTCAATGGGATTGCACCTCAGGCTCCGATGCTGATGTTCTCTGGGTGGAGAGTCACTGACTCCATCTCAGATGTGGAGCTGAGAGCTGAAGTGGGAGGAGCTGACGTGGCAGGGAGTGGAGGGAGGGGTGTCCTGTCGATGTCACTGGGGCTGGCACACCAGTGAAGGGGGTGAGCTTTAAGCCAGGGAACTGCTGAGAGGCCGGAAGCCCATGTGCCGGCTCAGACCCGCCTTGAGAACCATCGCTGTGGCTGCAGAGTGGAGGATGGTTGAGGGGACAGCATGGGTGCAGGGACCTCGGAGAGGCTGCGTAGGTGATTTAGGTGAGAGATGATGCAGCCCTCTGGGCAACACCGGTGGGACGGAGGAAAGAACAGATTTGAGAGACCCCAGGAGAAGTGATGAGCCCGGTGACTGACTAGACTTACTGTGGGGGAAAGCGCATTCTTGCCGCTCATCCGGCATGCTGGCCCTCGCCCTGCACTGGAGCTGATGAATGGTTCGCACCAAATGCAGGTGAGTGTTTTCTAGGCTCATTGCTCACGGGCAGGAGGCGGCAGAGGCAGGCACGTGCAGCTCTCTCTCCTTTTGTTTTGAGCGTCACGGCTTCACAGTGCTTTCACAGGCGTTGTCTAGGCTTGTCCTGACCACGACTGTGCTATCAGTGGTCACGGTACAGGTCTGGGTGGGAAGTGCGCTGGTGGGGGCTGGAGGGCCTGGGCAAATTCCCGCTCCGCAGCTGGTGTCCTCAGGAGCCTTGTAGTCATTGAATTTGTCTTGCTTTCGTCATCTGCAGAATGAGGATGACACCTATTTTACAGATTTGCTGTGAAGACTAAATAGAGGCATGTATGGAAAGACACCCAGCCTGTTCCTGGGCCAAGGGAGGTGCTTGGCAAGAAAGTGGTCACATTTGGGGCTTAGGGTCCCCAAGGAGAAGCAGGGCCCCTGCTGAAAGCTGGGTCCCAGGGCAGGGATCTGGGAGTGGGGTGAGCTATGGAAAGGAGAGGTGCAGGATGTGTCTCCCAGTTTTGCTCTGGGCTGGCTGTAGAGCACAGTAATTCACAGACGCAAGAGGGAAGTCAGATTAAATGAATGTCGATTGGGGCACAAAAATATCGGCATTGCAATGGCCCCTTCTTAAAGCAGTCAGTAAAGATTGGGAGGCTATTGATTTAGCCATCTCATTATGCTGAGTTTAATGACAGCCGTGAGATGGACTACTGTGCCTCCTTAACCCGACAAAAAGAAAAGCCACATGCACAGGACACACTGGAGCCAGGCCCTCCAGCTGAAGCCGGAATTCCCC